ACAACACCACCTGTGATGGGATATGTGGGGGGATATGTGGGGGGATATGTGAGAGAAGGTGGTCAGGAGTTGACACAACACCACCTGTGATGGGATATGTGGGGGGATATGTGAGAGAAGGTGGTCAGGAGTTGACACAACACCACCTGTGATGGGATATGTGGGGGGATATGTGGCAACAGAAATAGTTAGAGGACGGTTGTAGATGAATGACTATATTGGGTTTGGTGTACGTGACAATTCTTTGTCATATCGACAGGCCGAAGGGCTAGAACCCAGAAGGCTGCTGGATCGGAAAAGTCAAGTAGGTAAAGGAAAGTATGTGTACGTGCAAACAGAGACAGGCCGGTGGTAGATGAACGATGAGATTGTGTTTGCGTTTACGTGGAAATAGAAACAGAAACAGGACGGTTACAGATGAACGATAAGATACGAGAGAAAGTCAGCAATGTAAACAAGTACATTGTACCTCAGTCGTTAAAAAAAAGTTTTAAGAATATTATAATTATAGGGAGCTCCTAAATTAGAAACACGACTTTGCTAGCAGATATTTTTCTACTAAAATTTGGGCAGAAAATAACGAAAACAGAACGAAAAAACGACTACATGCATATTGCAGGATACTTGATCAAATTAAAACGGCTTAAGAAAAGAAAAGAGAATTCATTACAAGTACACAAACTTTACCAAAATAAAACAATTTTTAAAAAGGGAAAAAGGATTCATGATAGGCAGGTTGTTAAACATACTTTATCAAAATAAAACATCAACAAAGCAAAGAGAATTCATTCCAGGTAGGTTGTTAGGCATGACTTTTCAAAACAAAAAGACATCAAACAAACTTCATACAAATTAAAAAAAAACCCAACTTCAAACAAACAAACAAACAAACAAACAAGCAAAGAAAAACAACATTAAAAAATCCCCAATGACCGACCTTGAGCTCCAGAAAGGCCAGTCTCCTCCCGATACACTGACGGGGTCCGAACCCAAACACCAGGAACTCTATCCCATCTGACGTATTAGTCTGCCCAGCCCCAGGGGAGAACCGGTCCGGGTCGAACGAGTCCGGGTCCCGCCAGTACCCCGGGTCTCTGAGGACTCGGTTGATCCGGATGTACACACACGAGTCTTTGGGGATTGTGACGTCACCACACCTCATCGTCTGCTCGGCCTGCCTGGTCACGGCGGGGGCGGGCGGGAACAGACGGAGCGTCTCTTTGATCACCTGGGGGG